CCCCCCCCCCCAGCGTCCCTGGCCCATTCTCCTCATCTACTCTCCGACCCCGCAAGCTCAAGCAGGATGCCGACACCGTTGAGTATCGCAAATATGTGGTCAGCAAGATTTATCGCGCGTGCTGCGTGATGAGGACGGGGACATTGAATATCCGTATGCTCAGTGCGATGTACGCAGGACGGCCACTCCACTGGCTTTGGCAACGCCTGGAGTGGCTGGACGAGAATCGCAGCGGCATCCTTGATGCGACGATCTTAGCATCACCGATCATAGAGAAGATGGGGTCAGTCAGAAGAGGATGAGGATGACGATGCGGACTAGGAGAACGGAGACGAGAATGACAGTGGGATGGTGCGGATGTTGCGGTGGTTGTTGCGGGCCTTGTGTTGTGGGGTTCATCGCCGTACGATCGCCTCTGAGTTTTTTTGCACCTCTGCTTGTCTCAAGCTCCGCCCTTCTTCTAGTCATTATCTTCTCGTGGCGTCCAACCATCAGCCTCGAGCATCCCTGAGGCCATCGATCCCACGGTGGGCCCATTCGAGGAGTGCCAGCGGCGCCTGCAAGAGATGCTGTGTAGCGACTTCAACCTGCCGCTGAACTTCCGCGTGGCCGAGTCCGAGCTCGCGTCGTTCTGGTGCCACTTCAACGGCCAGGACGCGGCTCTCAGGATTGCCCGGGGCTTGGTGATGCAGATCAGCGCTTCCGCGTATGCCCAGTTGCATTGGAAGTTCCAGGCAGCATGACAATGTCGCATGGTGGAGGTGAGCTAGGATGGGATGCTGCCAAGCGGGCATTAGGCGAGATTGAGGCGGTGGGTGCCGCGCGGGGGAGGAAGAGGAGGAGGCAGAGGGCCAAGGTGAGTGTGCGGGGGAGAGGTAATTGCAAACCGCCCCCCCCCCCGCCCCCCCGCCCCGTTCTCCTTGCCCCCCGCCCCTCCCCGAACACCCTAGACGGCGTTTGACATTCTGGTCCATGAAGCATTGCCCCGACCCCAGCCGCCCCCGCCCTGGCTCACTCGTGGCCCTGTCCTAGACGTCGCCACCCGCCATGGGCCCCACATCTTTCCTGCTCCTGTGCCGCACATGGCATAATGTACAGTCCGTTGATGGGGCCTTGCCGTAGGCTGTCGCGTCGTCTTTCGTGCCATATTGTTTCTCGCCAGCCCGCCCCCCCCCCCCCTCCCCCGGAGGTTTCACGACGCGCTCGGGGACTGCCCATTTCGATTGTTGCGGTTGGCTATGACGCCCCCCCTTCGTGATCTCCGAGATGCCGCCAAACAGTTCTTCCATGTTGACGAATGCTGCCTCGAACCTAAATTAGCACGGAGGATGCGGCGCTTGTGGTCAAATTCGGAAGACATGTTGAATGATGATGCATTCTGGCGAACGTTTCGCACATTTTGTAGACACGCGTTGTTGACAAATATGAATGTCGAGCGATTGTTTGCACAGGTGAAGCACGCTATTGATATAGCAGACCCATGCTTGGAACGAGTGCGCGTGAACGGGTACCTCTCTGAGTGTTTGTCTCAACACCTCCGTGCCGGGGGATCTGGCCCACGCGAAGAACATGCGCAGGCTTGCCGTGATGCTGGGGTTCCTCTAGAGGCAGCGTGCAGTGGTGGGCGCAGGGCCACCAGGGCGGCTCCAGGCTGGATGCTTTACGTAAGTGCCTCTGAGCGCCCGGGTGGGAGTCGGGCAGCCCCTCGTTCGAAGCAGCAGAAGATCAGCGACAGGCGCGAGTTGAGGGCGCAGTTTCAAGCATTACCCCGGGAGGAACAGGCTATATGGGATGCTAGAGCTGCCGACAGGTATATCGATAAGCAACAGGCAGTGGCAGCAGAACGCGAACTTCCAGAGTTAGACCCCTTGCCCCCAATACCAGAGCAACAGGCAATGTGTGGCCTTAGTGGTGACGGATTGCCCCTGAGACAACAGGTGTTTTTGGTGGCGGCAGCAAGTGCTTGTGACGATTCCTTCCGAAGCTGGGGTCTGACGGCACGCTCGCAATTCGTCGATGGGGCCTTTGTTAAAGATGCGGGGATTCTACCTCAAGGGGCCAAAGTAGGTTATCCTCGTGCATGCTGGCAACGCCACGCTGGGGTATGTGTGACCCAGGACGCCCGTAGGTACGAGACGATCTGCCGCAGTGGTTTGGGCTTGTCAAAGTTTCTTTGGGACCAGAAGTGGCAGTTCGAATGGCTAAAGGTGGAATTGAGCACACCTGGAGATCCTGGGAAACCGCAGGCTGGAGGATTTTTCTGGACTGCATACGCGAGAGGGTCGAACCCCATGATGACTCTTTTTCTCGCAGGCGCTTTGGTTTGTTACAATCTAGCTTGACGTCTACAACTCCTACCTTCTTGATAGCACTGGCTACTTGTGCGCCCCTGGTCCTGTGTTTCCCACCGCCCACGTATCACCTCCAGGCCTGCCTCCTGGGGGCCGTCTGGCGCCTCTTTATTGGGAGCTGTTCTCGCCATCCCCCCTCCGCCCCCCCCCTTCCCCTCCCCCCTCCGCCCCCCCATTGCCATCGGCAGGCGATGTAGACCACCACCTCAGGGAGTTGAACCTCCGCGTGGAGGGTGACGGCCTCGTCGTGTTGAACCAGGCGTCCCTGATGAAACTCTTGTTGGGCGACGACGATCCGTTGTTGAACCAGTCCCTGGTAGTGCGCAGGGTGAAGACGGTGGTGAAGATCGACCCCTTGCGCCCCGTGAGCCAAAACGACATTGTGGAGATGATGCCCCCGGAGATCGTAATGAACTGCATCCTTGAGGCCTGGGGCTGTCCAATGCTGCCGCGGGAGTCTGGCTGGAGCGACGACGATGGCGATGCAGGGGGAGGGCGGCGGTGAGGGATGAGCTGGTGCGAGTGCAATGATGTGGATTGGCGGCGACGGCGGTAGCGACGGCGGCGACGCTGGCGGCGGTTGCGATAACACGGCGATGTCGATTTGCTTTGTTCGTTAGGGGCGACGTCGGCCACTGACACCTTTTTTCTCAATCCGCGCCGATGTGTCCAACCAGCCCTTCCGCTCTCCCACGGTGGAGCGCCCCCCCCCCCCCCCCCCCCCCCCCCCCGCTCCCCCCCCCCCCCGGCGATTTCCCAGCGGGGTCTTGATCTGATGCATGGGGGCAGGGGGTTGGGGAGGGGGTAGGTGGGGTTCGGAAGACACTTACTAAGAGTGGGGTATACAGACAGTCTCACTTCCCCCTCCTTGCAATCCCCTTCATTCTTCTGCTGCGCCCTGGTCCCGAGGGGCCCTTTCTCCACCGAGCCCCTGCATCACCTCCTGGCCCCCCGCCCCTTCCCCCCGCCCTTGGGGCGGGCTCGGGCACGCCCTGCGCCCTTCTACGGGGCCCTTGTGGCCATTCGCAGAAGGCCCCCCCCCCGCATTTTTTGCAGTCCCGAACAGGGTTTTTACAGTCCCTTCTCAGGGAGTCGCGCCTGAAAAGACTACAGAGGACGACGATGACGTTTGCGACTTCGGCAATCTCTTGACGCGGACACTAGCTTCGGCCGCCTCATGAAACACTTTAATGACGCTTTCAGGGGCACGGACTTCTCGGGCACCATCGGGGCGAACCAGTCGGTGATAGCGGCCTTGCCCCGCATCCGAGAGGAGGCGCACGATGCGTTTTTTTACGCAGACAGCGACGAGGAGGATCCAGCGCAGCCTCCAGCGCCGCCGCCGCCAGCGGTGCCTGCGCCGCCGCCTGCGGTGGCTGCGCCGCCGCCAGTGGTGGCTGCGCCGCCGCCAGACGCTGCCCCGGCAGTCGCGCTGCCGCCCCCAGCCGCGGAGGAACCTGTGGCGCCTGCTGCAGCGGCCGCTGCCCCTGCTGCCGCTGGTGAAGACATCCCTCCATCACCCAAAGCGTCAGAGGCGGGCCAGGGCCTGGGGACCGTTCCATTTCGCTGAGGCTTGGGCTGACGGGGGGCATGTCGGGTGGGGCGCCACATGCGGGCTCCATTGCAACGAAGGCGACACTAACCAGTGTAAGCGGAACATGAAGTACAAGGGTCGCGGCCGTGACCCGAGCATTGACGACGAAGGGTGCGCGCGGCAATTGAAACGCTGGCTCATTGCTGGGTTGAGTATTGATCCGAGCGACCCAAGGGCACGGGCCCTGCACATGCAGGTGCCCATTCGTACCCATCGGGCCTCAAAGGGTGCCCGAGGATCTAGACACGCCCCCATAAATGTTACTTTGAGGGGCTTAAGATCAGCCAGTTCAGACCCTTGCACTCCGAAGACCAGGGGCCATCTTTCTTGGGGGGCGGGAGTGGGGGCGAGGAGGGATATCCAGATCGGTAAGTGTTGCTGCGTGGGGGTGGCGTGCATGTCAGAGGCAACGTCAGATCTCCTTGGTCGAAGGGGGGAGGAGGTGGCGTGAGGTGGCGACGTTTAATCTCGGTCTAGTAAGGCAAAGTAACATCTGGGGAGGCGCCGCCCTTCGCGCGGGCGGCTTGCATGTAGGACGCTCTTCGCTTGGATAGGCGCGGAGTTGGGGCGGGCCATTCGCCTGTCTATGGCGTCGCGTGGGGCTTTGGCAACGATATTGCAACCCCTCTCCCTCAACCTCCCTTCCGCAGGCTGCTGCCGAGGTCGGCTCGGCAGGTGCGCAATGAGGATGATGGTATCAATGATGTAGATGATGAGCCGATCCTGGACACAAGCCCCCTAACGGCAGTCTCTTCGCATATTGACCCCCGCTGGAACCAGCAGCGTTGATGTGACCTGGGAGTTCTGTCACCTTTTGGAGGCCCTTCGACTGCATTAGCATGGGGGGTCCGAGTATTGGAGAAGGTGTCGTCCAGCTCTTGCAACCCATTCCTTTGGACACCCCAGATCGGCCTGCCCGTTGTGCGCATGAGGGGTGCAAACAGGATCCTCGGTATCACCTGGACAGCTGTTCAGTGCCAAGCTCGCAAGTGTTTGAGCCCTCGCTCTCCCATCAGAATTACAGGCCGCGGTGGTGAGCGGGCGCAGCCAGTCAGGCGGCGCTGCCAAGCCATTGTCCGCCAAGAGCATCATGGACTCCCTGCGCGAGAACGCCGTAACGGGGGCGCCCGCGGTGCCCGCGGCGCCGGCTGCAGCCAAACCCAGGGCGGCACCGAAACGCAAGGCCGCGGCAGAGGCAGCGTCTCCGGCGGGGGCCGAGTCGACTCGCGGCCCTCCGGCGAAGAAGAGGCGTGGCGCTACGGTGCCCTCGGCCCCTGAGGGAACCACGGCCGCTTCGCCGCCCGACGCTGCGCCCGCCTCAGACGCCACGACAGGCGCAGAGGCAGGGACAGCATCGCAACCTCCTGTGGCGGGTGTCGCGGACACCGTTGAGCGCATGGGTGCTGAGATGGATGGGCTCTGCGCGGAGTTGCAGGAGATAGCCCTTTCCCCGCCAGTGACCTCCCAGACGGCCTCGATTGGCGCGTCAGCAGAGTGCCAGGCAGCAGTCTGTCCAAGCATCAGTGAAACCCCTGCAGCCGCAAGCGTAGCCACAACACCAACGACGCAGGTACCCGAGGCGTCATCAGCAGGTGTCGCTAGTCAACCGTGCGCGCCTGCTGCCCCAACATTGCCGTCGGCTCCTCCCGCGGACCGCCATGAAGGTCCTGAGCCGCCATTCAAGGCCCCTCGGGTCGGCCTCGCAGCCACCGCTTCTGCTGGCAAGCAGGACGCGTCGACGCCAGCCGCAGAGGAGGCGATCAACGCTGGTTGCGCCTCCTTGACGACGGGTGCTGCGGCAGTGCTTGTGAATGACGATGATGCCGAGCCGCAGCCTGGCGTCATCCCTGATTGGATCTCCGTGAAGTCGGGGTCAGAGCCCGACGAGAAGAGCATCGCCACCGACGTTCCAGCTGCTAACGTGCCTGCGGCCGACGCGGCGACCGACCCCGCCGATGCCGACGCGGACCTTGCGCTGGAGGGCTCGCTGGCCGACCTACTCGACGCGGGTGGGGTGGCCGACTCCTCGCCGCCTCGCGTGAGCTCGCCACCGCCGACGCCTGCCAGCCTCACAGTTGTGCCGACGCCCCCCGCGCCAGCTCGAGTGCATGCCGATGCAATGGCCGAGGCCAGGGCACGCGTCGCCCCCCCGCGCGAACTCGAGTTCATGCGAGCCTCCGACCCCGCCTTCATGGCGATGGAGCATGCCAGCTTTGACGTCGAGCATTTTGGCCGTGCCGCCGCCCGTGACCTTGCGGCGGGCAACTGCCTGCAGCTTGCGGCAGCCGACGCGTGCGATGGCGACGTTGCGGGTATCCCATCGACGCAAGCGCCCCCGCCCTCACGCCGCCAAGCTGTGCCAGAGGTTGGTGCGATCGGTGCGCTGGACGCCGCGCCGCAGACCAAGACCTTGGGCCTCAAGCTGCCACGGATGCTCGCCAAGCCATCGCCTTTCCCGCCGAGGCTACGTCCCTTGGCGGAATCGCCCTCGGTCACGGCGAGCCCAGTGTCCACGGCCACGCTTCCGATGCCATCGCCCTCTGACCCGCGGCAGCTATCCCCGCCAGCGAGCGCTAAGCCAGAGTCCGCTGTCCAGGGCAGTGCGCTTGTGCCCGTCGCCGAGCCCCCGCCGTCGGAGGTCGCGCTGGTGCCTGCCGAGGCGCATCCTCCCCACTCACTCTTGGCTCTCGGCCTCGCCGCCGTCGCCTGTCCGCAGCCTCCGCCCGCAGCGTGTTCGCAGTGCGAATGCTGCGAGGCGGAGGTTGGGGATCTTGGCGGGGGCCCCGCAGTGACGGCGACGCTTCGGATCTGCCCCGCCAGGCTCGCATTGACGTGAAGGCCATGGGCTCGCTGCTCGGGGGCATCTTCAAGTCACTCCCAGCTGCCGAGGCTGACAGCAGCGACGAGGACACTGTCCCCCCGTCCCGCCGCGCAGGGTTTCTCGGTGGGCGTTTTCGGTAGTTTCGGGTGAATTTCCGGAGACCCCCCGTCCACTTTCATATTGGACGGGCGCCGCGCAGCTAATTACAGGAAGTTGGCGTCCCGAAATACGGGAAATTCGGATCTGCGTGAGGGGTGCGTCCGAACGGGAGATTCGGAATTTTTGGAATTTCCAGAAAAATAATTTTCGGGAGAGGCCCGTCCAATTTGAAATTGGACGGCGAATTTCCAGAAATGGCGCGCAAAATATTGGAAATCCCTTGGGAAAGACGGCACGAAATCATACCGCCGCCGCGGGTTTGGCACCTCCGAGGAGTCTGACTCGGCCGACCGAGCGCCAGAAGCCCCACCGGAGGCGGGCGGGGCGGGGGCGCGGCTGTCGCTTCGCTCCCTTCGGCGCCCAGGCACCCAGAGGCCAGGTCTCGCGAAGTCGGGGCCCTGCCCAGCCTCCCTCACCTCCTTCTCAGCGTGGGGGGGATGGGCGCAGTGCGATGGCGACGGCGGCGGCGTCGGGACTGGCGATGGTGTCGGCGGCTGCAGTCAGACGACGGCCTTTGTCGTAAGGGCACCTTGCTTGAGGAAGGGGGGGGGGTGGCCCACGCTGGCGAGCCCGCGCATACAGACCGAAGCCGTGGCTGGCTGTGCGAGGAGGGGGAGACAGGCACCAGACAGCCCATGCAGGCATCTTTGGAGGGCCCACGCCTGCATCTGCCAGGCCTCCGGAGCGGGCGCTGTCCGAGCCATTGCATGCAGGCTCAGGTGGTGTCGCACCTGTGCCTAGCGCGCTGCCCCCGTTCCGCGCGGCACGGGCACAAGGCGCGCTCCTCGTCTCCCCGCTGGCGTGCGCACAGCCCCGAGCATGCGGGCATCGAGGCTGGCGACGCTGAGGTTGCCGCAGACGCCGCCGCCGCCTGCGCGGCTACAGTCGCTCCGCCTGAGGACAGCGGGCTCGCCGACTCTGCGGAGACGCTTCATGATGCTGTTGCAGGCCTGGGGCGCGAAGGCGCTCATGACGCGGCGACGGACGCGCAGGAGGCGTACAATGGCGAGGCCACCGTTCCTCTGGATGCAGAGGCTGGCGATGCGACCGCTGCTGATGACGTGCTGCTGCTCCTTCGCCCGCTGCTGGTTGAGAGGCCCGATGCCGACGCGACCGTCCCGACGGTGGAGATCGCTAGCGGGGCCGTCTTGGTGTCCTCTGCGACCCAGACGGACATCATGTGGGTCGGGCCCTGCGTATCCCAGGTGCCGAGCACTCCAGAGGCCGCGGCAGGCGCCGCGTCCAGCAGCAGTTCAGACGGCATCGGCGTCTCCCCAGGCGGCTCGGCTGCCGCAGCGGCGGCGCCTTTCTACCCCATACGCGGCCCGCCCTTGGCGCCAGGTGTCCCGCCGCCGCCCCTTCAAGGCGCCGCCGCCCACAAGGCTGCGCCGGGGCTCCTACAGGGCCCCGCCGCGGCCGCTGGGAGCCCGCCAGCTGGGCAGGGGATCTCGCGGGAGCGCGTGCCATGCGGCAAGCCGCCCCCGCCAGGGTTCGAGAACGACGCCCGCGCGGGCGGCGACCCCTGGCAAGAACGCCCCTCGCCGCCGATCCATGGCAGGCCGCCGCCGCCGCTCCTTTCGAGTTCAAGCGCGGCGCAGCCGGTGGGCTGGGCGGCCAAGTGCCATTGGCGTTGGCGTGCCAGTCGTTTCGCGTCAGTCGGCCTCGTCGATCGAGTCGGGGTGTCGGTGGCTGGAGTCCGCCTGTCCTTTGATGTCGCAACGACGGTGGTGTCGGCGACGACGTTGCGGCCCAGGCGGCGGCTGCTGCGGTCCCGTGGAAGCTGCCGCCGGGCTCGGGGCCGACGGTGCCGCAGCCGAAGCCCGCGCCGGTGGCCCCTCGCCCTCCGCCTCCGCCTCCGCCTCCTCCTCCTCATCATGCTCCTCATCCTCCTCCTCCTCCTCCTCCGCCTCCGCCTCCGCCTTCTCCACCTCGTCCTCCTCGTCCTCCTCCTCCTCCTCCTCTCCCATCCCCTCCTGCTCCGCCTGCCCTGACTCTCCAGTTGGTGGTGCCCAACCTCCGTCTGCTCATCCTCCTGCCCCCTGCCCTCCTTCACGCCCCACGCCGCCGCCTCCGCCACGTCATCCTTTTCGCCCGCCCGCCTTTCGCGCGCGTCCCCGCAGGTGGTGCAGCATATCACTAACCACCGCGTTCACTTGTCTCGGGTGGAGGAGATCTACGGCCCGCATTGGGCCTACTACGCGTTTTTGACGTTCGAGCAAGCGCGCGATGGCTGGATCACGTTGTACACCCGGGACTACGAGAGGCTGTTCTTCCACAACTGGATGACTAACGAGTCACGCTGGTACCCTCCGAACGACGAGGGCGGCGCGGGCGGGGCGCCTGACATGTGAGGGCCCCGGGGCTAGGGTCAAGGCACTCGGCGTGGAGACAGCGCCATTCTCGGGCTGCATCCTCTCCGCGCACTTTCTAGGAGAGCCTCCTTTGACAACAATGACGACGACGACGCCGTAATCTTGCCGCGACGGCGATTGGCGGCCGCTTGCTCTTCGGAGCCGTCTTCGGCGCCGTGATCCTGGCGTGCGAGGGTAATTCATGCGCGCGTTGCTGCGTCTTCGGTGCGCTTGGGGGCAGCGCGCCCTTCCTCTCTCTATCTTTCCGAATGTACCTCGTTCTGCTGCAAGAGACTAGTGTTAATCTCAATGTGTTCATGCTCCTTCTGCCCTGCTCCTCCCACTCGCCTCTGCGCTGTGTTCCCGCGTCCGTGTAGCGTGGGCCGAATTGCGCCTCCGACGCCAAATATAATGATAAGCGGCCCAAGTGAAAAAAAGTGCGGGCGCGGCATGCGGGAGCAGAACGCAGAGGCGAGAGGGAGTAGCAGACCGCTGTGCTATCGCCATGCCGCTGCTGTGGATCGCTAGCGTACCAGTCAGAGGCCTCCTGGAGGACGTGCCCTGTCGCCTGTGCGCAGGCTCAGGCTATGCTATACCATGACTCTACCAGGGTCTCCAGGGTCAGGCCAAGTCCAGGGTCCTGGGCTTCATGGGTCTCGTCCTGGGCGTCCTGGTCTCGCTCATGTCTGGGATCAGAGGTAATGGCGGCGCTGCGTTGGCTGGTCAGGGAGGCGGGGCCGGGCCAGGTCAAGAACGCCCTGCAGAAGGCGATCACGCAGATGCACGATCTCTTGCCGAAGCAATACGTCCGAACCTGCTCGATGCGATCTCCCGCTGCGGCGGTGAGCTCTCGGTCGGGACAGGCACCGCCCCGCTATGTCGCGTGTGCCACACGTGGCGTCTCGCTATCCGTCTAGCCCATGCTCGCCTCTCCCCCGCACCCTTCCTCCAGTGCTCTGCGCCCCAGAGGCTTCAGCGGCGGCGATGTCTTCAGCAAGATCTTGGATGCGTTCGCCATCGAGTGGAGCGACCGCTTCGACAAGCAGATCACCTTTCACAAGAAATTCCAGTGCGAGTGCGGGATCACTCAGCAGCTGTTCCTGAAGCGCGAGTTCCCGGACTGCGAGTACCTCTTCTCCAACATGTCAGAGCATGGAGCATAGTTTCAGGATGAGGGGCGTCCGAGGTGATGAGCCTTGGTGGAGGACGACGCTCGCGAGGCTGGCGGCGGCGACGACGCAGTTGTGCTGGTGATGGCGACGATGCTGTCGAGGAGGATATGGTGGGAGGGTGGAGGAGGCGCCCCCCGTCGTCGTGGCATTCATCTCCTGCCCCTTCTCCCCGCCCCCCTCTCCAACGCCAGCCCCCTCCACCTTAGTCTTCTTCGTGGCTCCTTCGCCATTCTCCCCCAGTGACCTGCATCCACACCTTCTCCTTTCTCCGACCTCCGTTCCTGCCTTTGCGTCCCAACATGCGTTGCCATTGACTGCGCTGAGGTTATGCCGAGCACGCGTCATGGACATCAAATCGGGCCAGCGCGTACTTGTCCCCGCAGTTGATATTTTCGCAGCTGGTTTCACCTGTACAACAAAATCCAATTTAAACGGCAAAACGAGGGGGCAAACATTGAGCCCGATACAGACTGGAGAAGGTGAAACAGGCAAAGCGTGGGCCTATACAGCGGCCTACATTCAGAAGGCTCGCCCAACGCTGGTCGTGCTCGAGAACCTGACAGCGCTCATGGTGACAACGGAGTCATTCCCGTGCTCGGACGCAGAGGCCATCGTCACGTTCCTTCGCGAGTGTGGATACACTGCGCGTGCCTCGCACTCGGTCACCGCCGCTATGCAGATGAGGGGGGGGGGGGGGGGTCGCTAGCTTGTGCGACCGATGTGGTGCTGGGGGGTTGATGTGGGTCGGTGGGGTGTCGATGGTGGCCATGGGCGTCGATTGGGGTCGATGGAGGTCGTGCGCGATCGATGCGGGCCGATGTCAGGTGGTTTTGCGACGTATCGCACGCGCCAGACTCGACGCTAAGGCCTTGCGCGTGAGTGCCATGGACTTCGGATCGCCAGCCGTCCGCACGCGCATGGCCGTGGTCGGGCTGCTGGACGATGCCAGAGGCTTCGGCATCTCCGCGTACTCCGCTGTGTTGCCGTGCCTCAAGATTGGGCCGCTCCCCATCGAGGAGTTCTTCCACTGGCGTGATATCCCGCTCTTCGACGGTTTGAACGCCCCTCCGGTGAGGCGTCTCAAAGGCACCAGTGATATCCACCTTACGTACTACAAGGCAGCGGGCCTCTCGTATCCCCCGGACATCAGGCACTACTGCCAGGAGCTCCAGGTGTTGCTCGCCCCGCTTTGCCCTGCCCAGATTGAGGCGGGACCACCCTTACTCACTCCCTCCTGCCGTTTGAATCAGCTCTCTGCATCCTCGGCCCCCTGCCCTCCAGGGTGAGACACCCTCAACACGCAGACACCACGCTGACACGCACGCGCCTCACCTCCACTCTCACATCAAGCTTGCCCTGCCATCATTTGTGAGGGTATTGTGTCTTCGACTTTCTCGCATGTGCCGTTACAGTATTGTGCCGTTCGCACATCGTGTGTTGTAGAGGGTGCGTGCGTGTTGCGTTGGCCCCATTGTAGCCGCCCCCAGGTGGCCTTGTACGGAGAAGAATGTGATCCTCGGCCACGTCCTGGCGTAATTCAATGGGCTGATGTGAACCTCTCGTTGAGGTTCCTCACGGGCCCCGAGGGCAGCGGTGCGGTCTTCAGCGAGGCGGTTCCCACGCTCACCTGCAAGTCGGTGCTGATGTTACGGACCATGACGGAGGACGGGAACAAGCACTGGAGGCGAGTAGACGTCCTCCATTCGTTTGTCGTGGCGTCCTCCTCCTCTCGTCGCTCTCGGCCCTTGCTTTTGACCCGATGGTATCACGGTAGGGGGGGGGGGGTTGAGGAGTCCTGGGAGGTGGGTGGCTGGCGTAGGGATTGTAAGGTGACGGATGGGGTGGGCGGCGCGATCAGCGCCATGTGGGTGGGGGGCAGACTCTGTCATTTGTAATGCTATGGCTCTCTGTCTCCCGCCTCCCTGCCAGGGTGATATCCGGAGAGCGTCTTCTGCGTCTGATTGGGTTTTTCGACGCATCCGACGAGACTGACGATAACGCTGCACGCCTTCTCGTTGGCAATGCCTACTCTGGGTTTGCCTTTGCTGCCGTGGCGCTCAGCGCCATCGTCGGGTTCGGGCGGCGCCGTTAGAGGGCGCAGCCACGAACCGAAGCGACGGCGCATGAGGGGTATGGAGAGGAGATACGAAGAAGAGGATTTACAGAGGCCGCGGCTGCTAATTTCAAGTTTCTTGTTTTCCGCCGCAGAGATTCCGACGGGAGTTTCTGGCCGGGCGCCGAGCTGCGGCGCCGTTGGCGGTTGACCCCCCCCCCCAGAGAAGCGCGCGGGGCGCGTTTCAAGCTCGGGTTGCCTGGGGCGGGGTGCGGTCTTCACTAGGATTGGCAACGCCCGCTGGTGTGAGCACGCTTGCGAAAGGTCACTGCGACCCTCGGCTCGTCCTCCCCGCTCCTGCAGCCCCTCGCCTGCTACTCCTTCTCTTCTCCTCCTCCTGCTACTCTTTCTCTTCTCCTCCTCCTGCTGCCCTTCTCTCCTGTCTCCCAGCCTTTACCTCCTCTATTTGCTCGCCTCCTGCCCCCCCCCCCCCCCCGCGTCTCCATCAGACGCGGAGAGGTGGTTGTGTGTGTGTGTGTGGTGGTGGGGGGGGGGGCGGTGCGGGGGGGTCCGAAGTCGATTTAGCATGCCGTATAACGTCTCAGGAAGCAACCCTTTACCCCCTTGCCCTTGTAGCGAGGCCTCACGTTAGACAGGCTCTGGGTCTGAGGTGGCACGATCGTTCAAAGCTACTCTTGCATCCACTGTGCATCGCGTCCGTGAAGGGTGGCATCTCGGGTCGCAGCATCGGCGGGGCTACTGCTCCTGGTTCTATCCCCCCCCCCAGCCCATTGCTCGACAGCCACGAGAGGGAAGCGTCCTGCTGGGAGCGGGGTGGGCCTTAAAGCAATTCGGTTGTTCAAGGGCCCCTGCTTCTCAGCGCTGGCAATCTTGTTTTGAGAAGCCCTGCTCACGCCCCGCGCTGTCGGCACCATGAGCGACAGGGGGGCCGACGTGCCCGACCTGTCGCATGCACGCGGCGATCCCAGCACCGCGACCAACGGCGTCTGGGGGCCAGAGAACGCGGAGAAGATCGTCGCCCAGCAGACCGCGGGGCATATGACGATCATCGAGGCGCGCTGCATTGCTGTATCACATGTCTCCGTCTTGTCCGTCTTGTATCACATGTCTCCGTCTTGCTGCATCGCATGTCTTTATTCTGCCATCTGTTTCGTTCTTATGACCTCGAGGTGATTCCGGGCGGTCGCGCGTGTCTTCTTTGTGGACGACGCGACGCCGAGACTGACCACGCGTTCACCGCCGAGTCGCTGCACTGGGGATGCAAACCAACCGGGCGGCACAACAGAGGAAACTATTGCTGTTACTGCGTGCGGACTCACGCAGGCTCTGCTCCTCCCCCCCTCCGTCGCTGTGGTTGTCCTCGTAATTCTCAGGAGGGGGCAGTCCATGAGTCTTGGCATGCATAAGACATGATGGGGGTGAGGAGGAGGGTGAGCAGAGAGGCGAGGACGAGGACGAGGAGCAGGAGTAGGAGGAGGTGGAGGAGGCGGCGGCGGATGCGATATAGCGTTTACAGGGATGGCGGAGTCTCGGAGTGTCGGGTCAAATGCGCGCGGCCTAACCTTTCGCGCCAAACAAGCGATATAGAGAGAGAGAGAGAGAGAGAGAGAGAGAGAGAGAGAGAGAGAGAGAGAGAGAGAGAGAGAGAGAGAAGAGAGAGAGAGAGAGAGAGAGAGAGAGAGAGAGAGTGTGAGGAACTGGCAGAGAGAGAGAGAGAGAGAAGAGAGTGAGAGAGAGAGAGAGAGAGAGAGAGAGAGAGAGAGAGAGAGAGAGAGAGAGAGAGAGAGGCGGGAGACCGGGAGAGAGAGGGGGAGAAAGGCAGCGAGAGAGAGAGAGAGAGAGAGAGAGAGAGAGAGAGAGAGAGAGAGAGAGAGAGAGAGAGAGAGAGAGAAAGAGAGAGAGAGAGAGAGAGAGAGAGAGAGAGAGAGAGAGAGAGAGAGAGAGAGAGAGAGAGAGAGAGAGAGAGAGAGAGAGAGAGAGCCGAGGCGCGAGAGCGACGGTGAGAGCGATCGATAAGGACGGGGACAGAGAGAAAGCAAGCCAGAGAGTGACAGAGAGAGAGAGGGAGAGCGGGAGAGAGAGAGAGTGAGAGAGCGAGACGGGCAGAGAGAGAGAGAGAGAGAGAGAGAGAGAGAGAGAGAGCGAGAGAGAGACGGCGCGAGCGAGCGAGAGGGAGCGGGGGAGGGAGGGAGGTGGCGGACAGACTCGCCGTGGCAGGCTTCTACGCGGACCAGGCTGAGACGGCGACGCTCAACTTGCTGACGGCACTCGTCGGCACCGACAAGGACATCAACAACGAATTCTTCGCCCGGCGGAACGAAGCCGCTTCGTACTTCATAGAACACAAAGGAACTCGTGCAGTGAGAGTGAACTGGAAAGATGTGCAGGAACAAGTTTCGAGCTACCACAAGCGTGAGATTTCCCGCAGGCGCAAGGCGGCACGCATAGTCCTCCTTTCGGATTACACCACTGAGCTGGGTGATCCGTATACTAACGGGAAAGGACACCAAGTGGTGTGGCACCAGGGGTTTCAATGTGTACGGATCCCCAATAAGATGGAGTGGGTCGAGGAGGACGTTGAAGCACATGGCGTCTCCAAGAGGAGGAAGCACGCCGACTCCGAGGACGCCATCTTCGCCGGGCAGGTGGATCGCTCCTTCAACGGTCTGGTGACAAGCCTTCAGGCCGCCTTCCCGCGCGCGTCTGGCGAGGCAGCGGCTACGCCGTCTTCGTTCTTTGCCAAAGCCTCTGGCCCGCCGCCCCCTACTACGCCTGCTCAGCCCGCGGGACCTGCTCCGCCGCAACAGCCCGCTCCTGCGCAGAACTTGTTCGGCGGCTTCCATGCCTTCATCCCCGTGGTCGCGCGGTCCTCGGCAGGTTCCGCGCAGGAGGCCCCCGTCGCCAAAGGCAAGGCGAAGCCGAAGGCGATGCGCCCTCGTGCGCCATTGAGCTCCAGCGAGGGGGGTGACAGTGAGTCCGGTAAGAAGCGTCCTGTCGGCCGCACACGCACCAACCGCCGCCAGGCGCTGTTGGGCCATCTCTGAGATTTCAAGGAATGCAATCAAGACGAAAAGTACTTTGCCGTTGCCAATTTCAGGCGCCAGCTGGATAGCGCCTTTGCTGCATTCAGCCAATTGATTGCACCAGCAGGCCAGTTCGACGAGGAGAAGAAGGCGCTGGTGGACAAGGGTCAAGCAGATCCAGAACTGTACGCCGATGATGATGCAGTCCAATGCGTCCGTAAACAAGCGCAGGAGGCGGCCAACATCAGTAAAGCGTGGGCCAAGAGTGGGAGCTTCGACAGATCGTTTGCATCGGCATACAAGATGTCTCTCACGTTCTTGGCGACCCCACCAGCTGCGCCCGCACTTTTCCTTCACTGGCTCATGCAGGAGCACGTCGCCAAGCATGTCGAGGCCCGTTACCATCTCCTCCTCTGCCTCAGCGTTTTCTCTCTCTCCACCTGGGTCCTTCAGCTAAACTTCTCCGAGCCCGATGCGGCCGTTGATGTCGCCGCGTCCCCATGGGTCCAATGTGGGCGGGCGGTCAGTAAGGGGTGCCTTTGGGAAAGAGCTAAGCATCGAAGGCCCCCCCCCCGTCGTCACAAGAGTGTTTGTCAATGGGGGTCGTCGAGATGGAGTACCAATCATCCTGGCGCCCGTGCACCTCCCGCCTACCCGTCCAGGCTGCGGCCGCGGACCAGAACATGTGGACCCCCCTGGAGCCCGCGAAGCTCACGGAGGCGGGCTTCTCCACGACTTCGGCCCAGCTTGCCATGGGCGTGGACATGGTGAAGATGAAGATCAGCATGATCGCGCAATCGGATCCGACGAACATCCTCTCAGACCTCCTCAAGCTTGCCACGACCATGCCAGATTGGGCGCCTACGGAGATCAAGGTGGACTTGAGTGCATTGCAGCAGGGGTTGAGCATGCTCAAGGAGAATGCTACGCCAAGCATTGTCGAACTGGAGCAGGCTCAGGAGGCCCTGAACGGCATCTCAAATAATCGCTGGCCCATGGCAGCTTCTGTTGTACAGTGGGCGCAGTCGAAGAAGTTGTTCCGAGATGCGCAGACTGCGGTGGTTGCCTTTTCAGCAGGTGTTGATCTGGCCAAGCGTGCGAAGGCGAACGTCGCGCAGGCACAGAAGCACTTCGAGATGGATGCCCGCGCTGAGGGCGGCGTGGATTCCAGCACGCGTCTCTTGAGCATGACTGGCTCTCTGAGGGTGATTGATAAGCTGTTTGCTGACGTCACTCCCATGGCGGAGAGGTATGTGGCTGCTGCCGATGTTGACAATGCTCTGCACAGCCTACTGGGTATGACCAGCGACATCATGTTGGACGTCGCGAAGGATACCCTGCCTCCCACTCCTATGCTTCTCCTTCTGTGCGGCGATACAAGGGTCTCTTTACTTCGAGATGTCTCGGGGTCACCACCTCCTTCGAAGCGGTCCTGGCCTCTGTCTTCAGGTTCTTCCAGGTCTAGTATAACCCTGGTCTTCTCCAGTGCTCGCTCTCGCCCCCCCTGTTGTACCTTTCAGGACCTGGCTGTCAAGATGAATTCATGGATGGACTCTCTTGGCGAGCCCCATTGGGATGATCCTGTGTATGTAAATGGCCTGCGCCAGATCACGGAAGTCGTCGGCATCTTCGAGTCAATTCCCAAGGTTGGGCCGCAGGTGCAGAACTTGGATGCGGACGCGTACGCGAAGCTTGTCGCGTACATCAGGGCATGCGGGGACGTTGTGAAAATCCTCACCCATCACACAAAGCCCGAGACGCCGATTTCGAAGGTGCCCGAGTTCATGGAGGCGGCGCCAGGAATTCTGCAGACGCTATCGGAATTCTTGGACGGTCATCCCACTGCGGAGGCCCTCGATGAGTTGTTTACGAAGTTCGTACAGTCGACGCCCTACAAGGACCTCAAGGCCTCGATGGCGAGTCGTCTCGGCGACCGCTTGCATGGCTTCCTGCGCATCACCAAGGGCGCGATGTTTGGAAACTATTCCCCGGACACCTTCTGGACTGCACCCTGGTCGCGTACTCTCGGCACCGTGGGCAACATCCTGGATCAGTACTTCTTGGTGAGCGGGGCTGGTTACGAGATAACGTTCACGCAAGATGCTGAGAAGGCTTTTGCGGAGGCTACAGATGCCCGCCGCTTTAGTGACGCCTTACTGAGGGACCAGGTGGGCTGCATCATCGGCGTTGGGAATATCTGGACCCAGGGCTTGCCGCTGATCACCTGCGCGTTCGACGTAGACGAGGACGCACTGAAGGTTTGGATTGCCACCGCGGGCGCGGTGCGCAAGCTGGTCACCACGATCGACAGCATCTTCCGCGGCTACGAGAAGACCACAGGTATGTCCTTCGACGACTGGGACCGCATGGGAGAGGGAGGATTCGGGAGGAGGACTGGGTAAGGTGGGGGGTGAGGCCGAGTGAGACGAACGAGGAGTAAGCGAGGGCGATGGACGAGGAGGAAAGGGGGGGGGCGGTGGGCCGGGGAGGGCAGCAGATGGAGGCGGTCGAGTAGCAGGGGTACGAGCAGTGGAAGGGAGACGGCGGCTGACACTGTCGCCTCCGCCTCCTCCACCACCATCTCCACCTCCTCATCCTCCTTCCCTTGCTCCTCCTCCTCGACCTCTTCCTCCTCCTCCTCCTCCTTCTCCTCCTCCCCCTCCTCCTCCTCGACCTCCTCCATCCACTCCTCCTCCTGCTCGTCCTCAACCTCCTCCTCCTCCTCCTCGTCACCTTGCCCCCATTGCAGGACTTTTCGGGCGCCCATTTCGTCCAGCACGTGGGCGCGTGTTTCGCTGCGCGCGGACGTGATCACGTGGATCTGCTGGACGACCTGCCTATCAGCAGGTGCGTTCGCGATGCCTTGGTGCGCGTGGGCGGTGCCTTGCTTGAAGCGAAGGACCGCTGGAAGGCCGGCTTCGAGAGGGCCTGCGAGAACATCCTCGAGTGGTGCCCCAAGTGGGAACCTTGTAAGGAGGAGCTTCTCAACTCCCCGCCACATCCCGTGGCAAAGGCACTGGTGGGGAACAAAATGTTGAAACAGCTCGGAGAAGTGTGCGCAGAGGTGGACGCGCGGCTCAAGCTCTTCCGCCGCTACACAGGCATCTTCTCTGGGGAGGAGGTGGGCAAGTGGGAGAGCATCGCCCATGAAGGCATGGTCGCAATCTCCTTGACATTTGTGATTTTCAGCATGAAATGGGCCTCCCCGCAGCTCAAGGGACCCCGTAAGCTGAGGGCCCCTGTGGGGAGCGGAAGGGGGCAGAAGGTTGAGGGGGGGGGGGGATGATGAGGAGTAGGAGTAGGAGGAAGGGAGAGGAAGACGACGCGGAGGAGGAGGAGGACAAGTAGCACAGGGAGGAGGGCGAGGAGGGGGAGGGGGAGGAGGGGGGGCAGCAGAAGGAGGTACGGCGGATCCTCCTCCTCCTCCTCCTCCTCCGCCTTCTCCTCCTCCTCCTTCTCCGCCTCATTGCCACTTGCCGCATCTCTTCCCGACTCTCCCCGGCCGCCCTGCCCTGCCCCTGCAAGGCCGCGGCGGAGCAGCTGGTCAAGGACCTCAAGGAGAAGGGCGTCTGGTCCGAGCTCCCCGTCTGCGCGGCGAGCTCCCTCGAGGCCGGGGGCAAGTGCCTGGAAGTAGGCCCTGATGAGGGCGGCCCCCCGGCGGCGTGGGCTGGTGCCGCTCCAGCCTCCAGCAGTGGTGGTGGCGGCGCGGCCTCCAGCAGTGGTGGTGGTGGTGGTGGCGGCGCGGCCTCCAGCAGTGGTGGCGCCGCGTAGGCTTTGAATTCAAAGAAGGAGGATGAGGGGGAGGATGCGGATGAGGAGGAGAAGGATGAGGATGAGGAGGAGAGGAGGATGAGGAGGAGAAGGATCAGGATCAGGAAAAGCAGGAGGATGAGGAGGAGAAGGAGCAGGATGAGGAGTAGAAGGACGCGAAGGACCATGGCGTGAGGCGGAGGAGGAGGATCAGCAGACAGGAATGAGGATAGAGAGGAGGAGAGGAGTGAGGATCTGAGGATGGGAGGGTGGTAGGAGGGAGGAGGGCGAGGAGGTGGAGGATGTGAGATGGGGGCGCAGGAGGACAGGCGGGGTCGTTCTCTCTCTCGCATCCGCATCGTGACACATGCATGTACGAGGGCGTTCAAGGTTCATCTCTGTCGCGGAGATCAATAGTCTTTGCATGACATTTGCGGTGTCTGTAACCATCAAGCTGTCGCCTTGCGAGAACACCAGCTGCATCTTTTGCTTCGGCACTGCGTTCGAGTGCCGCGTTTGACCGCGCGCCCTGTGGGTTCGGCGTGGACGGTCCAAGGGCTCCGCTGCAGATGCTCGCGTGCCGAGCGCCAGCGGGAGAAGCGAGAAAAGAAGAGTTGCGCTCCTCCTTTGAAGTCCCTCATGCTTGACATTGCCATTGTCCGCTGCTCCTGATACTCATGATGCGGTTGCCGTCGCTGTGGACTCTGTGAGTGAGTGAAGGGCGAACTTGCTTCTGATTCGACTCGTGTTGTAGTCGCCGTTTTTTTTTGTCTTCGTGTTAAGAATTTATAATTTTTGCAATTTATGACATTCTTCGTAATTTCAGGTATTTTATGTAATTTGTGGCTTCGGTATTTTCGGAATTATTGGTAGGATCTTCAAGTTAACTTTGCTTATCGTTTGGCGGGGCTCCTCAAACCATTTCATCCGACGATGGCGCCGCCCCCGGCCAAGTCTCCGAACGCTGCACCGATGAAAGATCCACCTCCCCTAAGGTCGGAGGACGAGGTGCCGAAAAAGCCCCCGCCCCCATTTCATCCGAGTCCAGGTGGCGCGCCTCGAAACTGGGGCTGACGATCATTCCGTTCGTCTGGCCGGCAGCGAGATTACTGGGGAGAGAACGTCGACGAGGCCCGCTGATGCTGCGCCCGAGGTTGCGCAGCCGCCGGCTAAGCCGGCGGGCTCAGAGACGGCGAAGGGCCAGCCCCAGGCTTGGCCTGCGCCCCCAAGTCCGCCGACTTGGTCACCAAGTCTCCGCGAGCCTGAGATCCCTCCCCGGGCCGAGAGGTGGAACATTGATCGTTCGATGCATGCGGACCGTGGACTCCAGCAAGTTGATGCCGCGCCCAAGGCAGCGCCACAGCAACAGCATTTTAAAGCTCATCCGGGGCCCTCCCAGCCCGCCCAAGGCGGCGCTGGGATGGGCCAGGCTGCGCGGGCCGAGAGCTCCGTCGCAAAGACAGTGGCAGTCGAGCTAGAAGCCAAGACTGCCGAGGATGTGGGCTCTGACCGCCCCGGAGGCAATGAGAGGCCGGACACTCCAGCGGCATCTCTCCCGACTCAAACGGATGGAGATCCCTCGTCAGAGGAATCCCTGCCCCCATTGGGAAGCGACGCTGCATCCAGCATTATCCGATCTATCAGAGACATCTCACATCGCCACTTTGAAGGCAAGCAAGCACGTAACGCGCTGGAGAATGAGCGCGATTTCTTCCGTCAATGGCGTCGTGCAATTATTGAACAGCAGCCGTATGCCGAAGATCCTGATAATTTGCGGGCAATGGAGATGTTTATCGACACAGCAAACAAGATATACGAGTTTGCTGAGAAAAAGGGGAAACACGAACCGGGGAAGTACTCGGATTCGCGGAAGAAGTTTGCAGCCACTGTTGTACAACAGATCCGAAGCGTGGCACCAGAGTTCGCTCCTACTCCTGTGGTCGCCGCCAAGAGCAAGCGGTCACAGCCTCGCACTGAAGGCGAATCTGTTGCGAGTGGAAGCAGGCCGCCTGCTCCCCGTGCGCCGCCGTCCGGCCCAGCCGCGGCGGCGAGAGTACCTGCGCCTGCGCGTGGCCCAGCCAGGGCGGAGACCACACCGACGCAGGGAGATCAGATGATGGTCGATTCGAATGCTGCTGCTGCGTCCCACGCTGCGCCTGATAAGGTTGCCGACTCGCCCCCTACAAAAGATGCCCCGAGCTCTTCCGATGAGGAGGCAGCACCCGCTGCAAAGGCACCGCCGCCAGCCGTCGCTTTGAGTGGACATAACGCGGCGGAGCCCTCCTCTGTGGACAGAACCCCGGGTGTCCCAGACACCCGGGGGTCCCTTAAGGCCAGCCCAGATCTAACTCATCTAAATGATTTCCCGTGTCAAGAGGATCCTGAACTTATTCCCATGGAGGAGGGGCATTATGGATCTGGCTCAGCCTCTGCCAACTTCTTCTGCAGAGCAAGGTTGCCACCTTCCCCCGATAAGCGGCAGCTTAAACCGACGGACGATTCGCCCCGAGAGGGCGATCAGGAGATTAATGTCGGGCACGCTGACCACTTTAGGGGCAAAGAGCTCTATCTCCCTTTGGAAGACCGCACTCGAATTTTCAATAATACGCCCATCGATCTGAAGCGAAGGGTTCGAGAGGCCCACGCTGCTGGTCCTGTGCCCCCCCGGGTAGAGGCCCTTCGCAATGAGACGATTAGTGCCCTCAAACGCCTTGCGGAGCTCGTTGAAGATCCCATATTTGCACTGTTGGGCGAGCTTTCCGAAGACATGGGCACTTCTGAACAGGTGCGAGATTTTCTCCGTGCTGAATTTCACTCTGATGATGTTCCCAGCGGACTTGGCCCTCAGTCGTTTAAGGTTTTGATCCCGTTGGTTGTGGGGGTCACTGACCGCGAGAATCCGGCGGCCCTAGGCTGCACGGAGTCTTGGCGACCCAAAAGTTGTCGAATAGATGGTTTCCAAGCGCATAGGTGATTTCGCGACGTATCTCGCGAGACAGTGTTCTGATTATGCGAGGTCTTCGGGAGGCTGGGTCTACTTTGGAGACCTGGTCGAGAAGATGGATGAGGATGGGTTTAAATACCAAACATGCGCACTTGCTGCACACGGCCTAGCCGCGTTGCAGCTGGGGACCGTGGGGGTCCTTGGTGTGCTCCCTGAAGACGCTGCCAGTGTCAATCAGACGGTCGTTTACGAACGATGGCGTGACTTCAAAGCCTGGCCCCTTCAAGGGGTCGAGCGGGCTAAATGCCCAATTCCCGTTTTCTATCGAGCTTGCCAGGGACATTCCGCGTTTGTTGCCTCGATCGAGAGGATGTGCGTGCCCTATGACCCTGGCCTAGCCAGGTGTCATGGGCCCCTCCTTCATATCACTGACATGGAGACGTTGGTGGAATCCATGGTCGGAGAAGTTCAGTTCCCCAAAAGCGCCTCGGGGCTTTGCCTCGAGGCGGACTACGAGTTGCTGGGGCTTCTTCCGACCAAGAAGGATCCAAGCTTTCAAAGTCCAGACCATTTTCCCTCCTGGCTAAGCCAGCGAAGGGATGGAGAGCCTCCTCCTGTGAAGAAGCGCGATGCCATGGGCCAAGACCCAC